CCTGCACCACCCGACAGCCCCAAGCTTCCCAGCAGGCAGGGAGCTGCAGAGGCCTGGAGAACCTAGGCTGAGTGACAGGCATGCGAGCGAGCACCAGCCCCTCCCTGCCCATTCCCTGTGTGACCTCAGCATCTGGTCCCCACAGGCCCAGCCCCAAGGTTTCAGGGTGACTCAGAGCCTCTGATGTGCCCAGGTGTCCAGGGCCAGCCATGATCCCCACTGCACCCCTGCCCCCCAGTCACCCGTCACCCACCCCAGTCCAAGCCCAGGGTGGTCATCCTCCCTCTCGTGTGCCCAGCCTCACCTCTCCAAATGGTCACCGCCAAGTCACAGACACTCCCACCCGAATCCACCCCAGACATCAGTGGGCTCCGCCACAGGTGGGAGAGGCTGCCGGGACCCCTTCTGTGCTTGGCTGCTCCGCGCTGGAGCTGGCAGGACTGACAAGCACCCGATGCCCTCCCTGCTGGCCACGCCATGGCTCCCGCAGAGAGGCAGCTCCACTCCTAAGGATGCACGGCCAGAGGGCGCCGTGCATCCCTGTGTCTCCGCCCGCCCACTAGAGGGGTGCAGCCAAGGAGAGGAAGGGGGGAGCTGGGCTCAGAGGCACTGTGAGTCCCCCCGCCCCAGGTCACAGAGCCAGTGAGGGACCCAGGGCCCAGAGTCTGACCTGTCCAGTCACAGCCTGCCACCCCACTGTACCTACTGCTCCCCCTCATCCTGCTGCTGTGGCCTGGAGTGTGGGGTGCCCAGGCAGAAGCAAGCAGCACCTACTTGTCACTGTGTGACCAGGGTCCAGGAGCCCTGAGTCCCCTCCCAGCACATCAGCATGTCTGGTGGCCTCGCTGTCAGGGGCCAGGCTCACGACTGCTTGCTCTGCGGCCCATCCGGCCAGCTCTGTGCCCCTAAGGCCAGGGAGGAGTGAAGCCAGCCTCCATCAGGGGGAGGTGGCCTCCTGGGGGTGCTGAGTGCATCCAGGTCTTTGTAAAACCCACACCTGGGCCTCCAGGGTCAGGGCCACAGCACCTCGGGGCCACCTGCTGACTCGCCCAAGGGGCCTCTGCACTGGGCACCTTGGCTCACAGGCCTCTCCCACCCCTTCCTCACATCCCGCCCACCCTGTGAGTCTCTGCCTTCAGGTCCTCTGCCCACACGCTGTGTTGTGGGTCACAGTGTGGCCCGTGGTGGCATCGATGCTGTCCCAGAACATTCCAGCTCCCCCAGGTTGAGCCAGCCTATGGAGGCGGGGCTCACAGAGGTGGCCTGCGGACTCACCTTGGATCCCGAGTGGGTGCAATGACCCACAGGGACTCACGATGTGACAAGAAGTGCACATTGGCAGAGTAGCCTGCTCCATCCTGACTGAACCCCTGTCCCAGGACTCCCTCAAAGGCCAGGACTATCTGCTGCTCTTGGGTTTCTGGTGGCCCCAAGGACCTGAATGTCAATAAATGGAGTTTGTTTGCCCCCGGAAGTGATGGTTACACCCCTGCCCGCCATCTAGGTCCTCGCCAGCCCTGCTAGTCCACATTCAGGCTCCAAACCTTAAAGACCCAGGGAGAAGGAGGCAGGAAATGGAGTCTGGGGTGCTGTGTGCTATGGGACACCTGGGCATCTGGACATAGGATGTGTGCCCCAATATTCAAATGGCATGGTGGGCAGTAGGCACAGCCGGGGCTGCCGGGGCCCCTGCAGCAGGGGAGGAGTGGCCCCTAGTGCCTAGGACAGGGCTGCCCAGCACTGTGGCCGGACTCTGTAATCCAAAGCGGAAGCCCTGTCCTCAGACCCCTACCTCCCCCCGCACACCCGTCTTTCCTCCTCCTCCTCCTCCTCCCTGTCCCACCAGTGGTCAAGCTGGTGAGTGGAGACCCAACCAGGGCTTTCCACGTGCAGGTTTGGGGAGTCAAGCTGCCCTTGGCTCCAACCCAGGCACTGTCCAGGGGCTTGACATCCTGCAGCCTCCCCCTTGAGGGCTGCACAGCACACGCCATGACCCTGCACCTACTGGGGCTCCCTCAGCCCCTTGAAGAGGGCCCGGGGCCTATTGAGTGCCTTCCCGCAGCCAGACAGAGCCATGGAGCCCCCAGCACTCAGAGGCACCCCCAGGCCCTGGCTGCTAGAATGTGTCTCTGAGAAAGGGGTCTGCAGCAGCCCAGGCCTGAGTTACAGCCTCTGGAAAAGACCTCAATTCCCGAAGGTTCCTAGAGATGAGATGCCTTGGGGGTGGGGGGGACGGCAGGGGGGTCCTGCGTCTCCACTGAGCCTCAGGCACAGCTACTTCTGGCGGGGGCAGGGGAGCTATGGCCTTGAAGTCTGCCATGGGGGCTGGCTGAAGGAGCAGCCCCCTCCAGGAGCGAGTCCTTTCCTGACCTCAGCCCAGCTCGGGGATGAGGGCTATGCTCCTAAATGGTCAGGACACACCACTGAGGGCCGGTGGGGGGAGGGGATGATGGCCCACGTCCTTATCAGGGCCCTTGAGTGGCCACACCTGGCATTAAGGCCCATCTGCTCAATGGGCACACCTCACAGCCCCCTGCAGCCCCCTAGGACTGGGGCTGGCCGGGGCTGGTGGCCAGCTCTGTCTAGGATGGCTCCTCCCTGCCCCCGTCGTGGGTGTTTGTCGAGCTGGGGGTTCCCACACTGGCTGAGTCCAGGCTTCAGTAAAGGGACCTTTCCCAGCAGGTGAGCGGTGGGGAGCTGCTGTGGTCAGAAGCGCTTCTGGGAACAACGGGCGTCACCTGGATCCCTATCTGAGGCTGACCTCCAACCCGGGGGAGGGGCTGTGGTTTTCCGGGACAGCTGGAGAGCTGCTCCTGCAGGTGGGGGTTCCCAGGGTCTCACCTTAGGGTCTCAATTGGGGCTTGGTGGCCCAGGAGGTCAGGCGGGGCTACCAGCCTCTGCAGGTGGGCACATACCTGCCCCCATCCCAGGAAGCTGGGCTGAGCGGGAGGGGGGAGGGAGCCCCTCGGCAGCACCTTATCTCAACACCAAACTACCCAGCCCCCTTTCCCCACAGGCCAGCCCCTGGTCTCCTCAGCACCCCTTCCCCGGGCACTGCCCCCCATTACCACCTAGGGTCCCCTCCTCTGAACTTGCACTTCCTCAGGCCTCCCCTACCTAAGCCCCGGGGCAGCCTCCACAAAGTGCCCTGGGGACCCCACCTAACCCTCCAGCTTCAGCCGGTGCCCTAGGCCCTGCACAGGCCCTTTTCACAGCGGTGAGCTGGGGCACTGCAGAGCCAGCTGAGTTTGCAAATCGCGGGTTCCTGAGCGCTCTGACAGGGACATGAGCCCTGGGGGAGGGCGGGAGTGGGCCGATGGAGCTGGGATGACCTCGAGGTGGGGGCATCTCTGCTGGGGGAGAATGTGTGAAGGGAAGGGGAGGCACTGCTTCCACAGTGACTCCCCTGTGCTCTCCCAAAGCCCTGAGCTTCATGGGCCAGGTCCCTCCCACCCAGACAGACCCCAAGCCTGACCTCACCTCCCCCTCCCACTCTGTGAATCCACCCCCAGAACCCCCCACCTCTTTCTGCGTCAGCCTGCTGCCTCTGCGCTGACGTCAGGGTGCCTGGGGGCCCCACGCGGGCCCGCCCACGAGGAGTTTCCACGCTGAGTCAGTCATGCCACGCCACCTGCCACCCACAGGGCCCCTCAGGACTTGGCGTGGGCAGGCCGCGGGTGCTTTCTCCGGAAGGTCCAGAGACACCCACACTCCCGGACCCCTCCCAGGGCTGCTGAGCCAGGCTGGGGACCCCTTCCCCGCAGGGCAGCCTGAGCAGGCCCCTGGGGAGGGTCCAGGACAGATGGTGACAAAAGTAAGCACACGGAGGGAAGTGGGGGAGGGGTCGGGAAGGCAGGAGACCTGGCCTGGTGTGGCAGGCAGGTCCCAGAGCTGTCCCCTGAAAGCTGTCCCAGAACAGCCACCCTCTTGGCCAGAGCTGTCCACCCCCACCTCCGTGGACATCCAGCCAGTCACCCCCCCATCCTGGCATTTTCTTATCAGCTCATTCACCTGCATCCTCACCCAACTTGGGCTCTGCGGGGGTGCCCAGAGCCTGGGACCCAGCGGGCACGAAGATCTGTATTTCCCACGTGAGCAAAGTTATGAGGAGGAGTCCCTGCCCTCCTTCCAGGGGCAAAAGTGGGCTGTGCTGTGCTAAGATGGAGCTGGGGTCTGGTGATGTCCCTGGGTGGGACACACCCGGAGCCCCTCTCTCCTCCACTTCCTGCTGTGAGCAGTGCCCATTGGGACTGGATGGGGGTAAGGACCCATGCGTCAGGGGGCTCTATTGGGCAGCATGCGGGTGGGAGGGGAGGGCCTGGGGGAGGCTGGAGCATTGGAACTGCAGGCAAGTGGCCAAGTGTGCTGGTACCTGGAGGGCACTGCTGCTGAGACGGGTCCCCACTGGCCCGCCTGCCACGCCCTGGACCACTGAGCCAAAGAGTTCTTATCAGGCCTCCCCAGACGTCAGCCCTGTTCAGACACTGGGAGGGTGTTGCTTGCCTCTGCTGAGCAGGACCCCAGAACCATACCCCGAGAGACAGGGGTCCTGGGAGGTAGAGGCCAGCGGCAGGGCTTGGAGAGACAGAGGCAAAGGCAGGCCGCTCTGAGACTGTCCTCAGCCCACCAGGAAGTGCTGGGTGTAGAAACTGACCTCACCCTGGACTTTGGGCCCAAATGACAAAAAGGCAGGCAACCCACAGAGGCCAGCCTGTGTGGCCAGCCCAGAACCCAGAGTCCGGAGTTGGTGGCTCAGGGACCAGACACAGGCTCAGGACCCAGCTGGCCTAGCGAGTTCCAGGCAGACCACGAGGGGCAAGGGGTGGACAGGCGGCAAAGAGGCACAGGATAGGCATCCAACACAGCACCCCTCCTCCAGGAAGTTTACCGAGCCCCCTGATCACTTGTGCCCAGGACTGGAATGGCCCTGCCTTCCGCTCTGGGAGGCCCTGGAGCCCACGTCCCGTGTCCCTGCCTCCCCCAGCACACGTCCACTCAGGTCACTGGACAAGGGTTTATTGAGCACCGCCTGCAGCCAGATCCTGTGCTGGGCACGGCCTCCTGTCCTGGGAGCCCGGGGCCCACAGACCCCGTTCCAGCAGGGCTGGCGCAGGAGGGAGGCAGCCACGGCCGAGTCTGTGTCTCCCATGGCCTGGCCACAGCTGCTGCCTCTTCTGCATGGTCTGGGGGACTCGTCACTGTTAACATCCCCACCCACTTCCGCCGTCGAGGGGAGCAGGGCCGGGCCAGAGTGGGGGACCCTCAGCAGGGAGCAGAGCCCTTGCCCCCAGGGGTCAGCCCTGAGCAAGTTTCTGGGAGGTTCTGGCTCGGGGTCCACTGTGCCAGAAGGTGGTGGGGCCTTATGCCCACAGGTCCCCCAGCCGTCCCTTGTCCTCCGACAGCCGCTCCCCGCGCTCCTCCTCAGGAAACGGACAGCTGCAGGCGTCCTCAGCTGGTGGCAGGGCCTCCAGCAGCAGCTGGGTCTCTGCAGAGGGGCTGTGGTCAGCCAGGGGCCAGGGGCCTGCCTCCCCCACCCCAGGGCACAACTAACCTGGGGGCCACACTCGCTGCCTCCTCAGCTGCCAGATGTACAGGCCAAGCTGGGCCACACTCAGGACCAGGATGCAGGTGACCATGGCGAGCAGGATGACGGTCAGCGGGCAGTGGTGTGGCTCAGCGGGCGGCAGTCCTGAGTCACACACAGCGTCATGCGTCTTGTTCCCAGGGAACATGGTGCGGAAGCCAGCCTGGGAGCAGCTGGGGAACGTGGACAGAGCCCTCCGTCAGCCCATCCAAATGGCCGCTGTCGAGCTTTTGGGGGTCACTGCACCAGGAGGCACAGGAGAGGCCCCTGAGAGCTGCCTGAAGGCCCCACCGTGACTCACTTTGCCCAGGGTTTACAGCGGCTCTCGCGGCCCCCAGAGTAGGTCCCTGCGGCACAGTCAACACACTCGAAGCCGAATATGAAACTTCCTGGAGACAGAGGGACAGGCAGACGGACAGGCATCCATTGGACAGAGGTCTCTGATACCCACAGGACTGGGACGTGGGATAAGTCAGTGCCCCTGTGTGTTCATTCCAGGGCAGGCATCTGGGGGCAGGCAGCCTTGGGGGGACCCAGAGGCTATGCCCTGGGCTGAGTGGAGGTTCCCTGGGGGGACATAGGGAGGAGCGCAGTGTGGGGCAGGGCCAGAGGGGATGGGAGGGACCTGTCTGCTTGGGGCTGGGGGCTGGGGGGAGGAGGCAAAGGCCGTGAGAACCAGGTTGGGCAGACCCTTGGCCCAGGAGACTGGAGGGCAGGAGGCCAGTGAGAGTCCTGGAGAGAAGGGCTGAGGCTGGCGCCCACGTGACCCTAGACCCTGCCCCCATCCAACCTCAGTCCGCTCGCCCCAGCCCATGTCCTCAGATACACAGGCCCTAGGAGGATTTGAGCTGCTCCTTCCAAAAGGGGGGCTGGCTCCGATGGGACTCAGGGGCAGGGGCACCCCATGCACATGGTCAGGTTGTGCGGGACCTGAGGACTGACAGACTTAAGCACCCCCTGGACACCCCACCGCTCCTCACAGCAGGCCCTGAGGGGTGTGAGTACCCTCCAACTAGGAGAGGGGAGGTCTTGCCAGAGAGTGCCCACAGAGAGCTGTGGCGCTGAGCAGCACAGTGGCCCCTGACCAAGGCTTTGCAGGACCCAGGACACTGGTGCCACCTTCCTGGAGGAGAGGTCTGTATCCCCACACTAGTGAGCTTCCTTCCAAACCCACAGGACACTCACCGCTCAACCGCCCGCATGCGCTCTGACTCAGCCCATGTAACCGCCTTGCCCTGCTCTGGCTGAAGCCACCAGTGATTTGACTTACTTACCATGAGCCTGCACCTCTTGGCCGGGCCGGCAACGATAGTGCTTGCAAGTCTTGCACTGTGGGTCTCCACAGTGGTGTTCAGGCTGGACACACGTACAGTTCTCAGGACAGACCTTGGCTGGGCAGGAGACAAGCCAGCCTTCTCAGCAGGTGGGTAGAGCCCTCCCTCCTAAGGGCTCCCACCCTCTGGTTCTCCAGGGAAGAGGGGATGTCAGGGCCAGGCAGCACACAGCACCCCCTCAGCCTCAGGGGTCAGAGGGCATCTCTTTGGGAGCCAGGACCCTTTCTTGGTCCATATGTGTCCCTCCCTCCGAGACACCCACTTCCTCCACCTAAGTGGCCTGGCTGTGCACCCCCGCTGCCCTGAAACTGCTTCCACCCAGGGTGGCTGTCACTCATCATGTGACCAGGAGCTGTCCGTGCTGGACAAGGAAGTAGGCTGGGGGACCTCCCCGTCCCTGCATCCCCCCGCAGCTGCCAAGCCCTTGAGGCAGCCTGCCTGTCAGCTCCAGGTCCCAACTCCCAGGATCCAGCAAGGTGACACTCTAGGGTTTTTTCCCCTTGGATAGGTGTCCCCAAACAGGCACATTCCACTTGCCCCTCACCCACAGCTGCAGGTCAGAGGCAGAGGCCCGGGCGGGCAGAAAGCGCGGCTGCCGCTGCCCGCGGTCCCAAACTGGGCAGGAAGCGGCCTGGGTGGGGGCCAAGGGCTCACTCCCTCCCCCGTAGGAATTGGACAGCCCTCCCCCTCCTCCTCCTCCCCCTCCTCGGGACCCCAGACCAGTCTTGGGGAAGGCTTCCGCACCCCTCGCCCCTGGCCCCAGCCTGGCTTGAGCAGGGCGCGCTTCACCTCCTGGGGTATTACGCTGGGGCCGAGGGCTCTCAGAGGGTTTGTCCGCCGCCCAGCCGCGGCCAGGTCTGCGCGCACGGAGGGGTCGCCAGCCGCTGCGCTCAGAGCCGCGCTCCCCGGGCGTGTCTTACCGGAGGCGCACGAGACGCAGCAGCGCGCGTCCTTCCCGGTCCCACGCAGAAGGCGGCCGGGGCCGCAGCTCGGGCCCCCGGTGGGTCGCTGGCCCAGGCCGACAGCGCAGAGCAGCGCGACGCCGCACAGGGCGGCCCGCGCGCGGCTCGCGTCCATGGCACCCATCGCCCAGGCGAGCGCCGGGACTTTGAGGCTCCGCCCCGCCCCCGCCTGACACGCCCAGACTCTGCCTGTCTCTTGGCAAGTTAAATTGTTAACCTCAGGCCCGCAACACGCGGCAACTCCAAATTCATGGGGGCAGACGAGCACAGAGGGTCTGGGAGCAGTGAAACTGCCCTGTGATGATCAGGTGCTAGGTGTCAATCACTGCACGGCTGTGCAAACCTCAGAATAGCGTGACCTTAACGTAAAGGACCCCTGGGTGGTTTTGACTGTCATGCAGGTCTGGTCAGTTTTATGTAACACGTGCACCCTCTGTGGGGAGGCTGACGGGGGGGGCAGGGGGTGGGGGGACATGGGAAATCTCTGTGCCTTCCCCTCGATTTTGCTGTGAACCTAAAACTG